TGTCCTCTTTTTCTTCTTCTCTTTCTTTTTCTTTATTATTATTATTATTACTATTACTATTATTATTATTATTGTTGTTGTTGTTGTTATTGTTATTATTGTTATTATTGCTATTGTTGTTGTTTATAATTGTTATTTATAATTTGTACAATTAACCTCCTTGTGGTTCGACTCCAGTCTTGCCGGGTTATTTATTACTTCGACACTCTTACACTTAAGAGAAGACATCAATCTTTTGGTCGTGTTAGTACTCTTTATGCTACTAATATATTCTAAGACAAAAAAAAAACTAAAATAATACCTTTTTATTGTTTTCTTTGAGGATGAAACATGTGTAGTTCAATTTGAGAGAAATAAAAAGTTTCTTATTGTCTGTTGAAAAGAGAAAGAGTTTCATGATTGATTGTTTGATGTCTCTATTTGTTGTAATACCAGTCCATTGGCCCACGCTATGTCATAGTTGGATAAATTTTTTAAATATAAAAAAAGTTAAGAGCTTGAAGAATTTTTTAATTGTTTTGTTCAACCTGACTTAATGGGTCAAATTTGAAATCTCGCAATCTAACTATTTGCCTAACTCGAGTTTCAAACTAAATCGTGCAAGAGTTAACCCAAATTAAATCGATTAATTTCATAAATCTAAATACAATCTTGATAATTGGTAAAAACATGGCTTAACTTTTGACAAAATTTCAAGATGATAACTCTTTTAACAAAAATTATTGAGACAATGACATATTGGATCAATCTTAGTTCGCCAGTAAACCATGCCATGGATTCTATTGAGTTAACTATTTTTTTTATAAAATATATGATAACAAAATTATGCACCAACCTAAAAATAAAAACTTATTTGAGACAGTAATAATCCTGTAAAAAAAATCATATAGTTTATTCCTCAACCAATCTAATATTGAAGGATAAAATTAAGAAAAAACTATTAAAAACAATCACTGAATAAAATATCAACCTAATACTATAGTTATTAGACTCGGCCCATTAACCTAATAAACCCAGGAAAATTAAAAACAAATTAGGGTTTTAATTTCTCACATTAAAAATTTAAGAAACAATTCATGTGGATGTAAGTCATACATGTTGTAAATAATAAACTTTAAAAAATTACTTTAAAAGATTTTTTTTTTCCATATTAAAAAGATATTATCTTTTCCTGTTAAGTTAAAGTATTTAAACCAAAAAGTTTTCTTATCTCATATTGAAAAAACACAACTTTCTTCTTGTAAACATATAATATATATACTAATGGGCTTTCAATACCACATTATAAAATTAAAAGTTTCTTCTAATGTTTATATAGTGAATTTTGATAAAAGTTGATAACTAATAAAGAAAAAATGGTAGGCTCATGTGTATAATTTTGGGTTGAGTTAGTGAAAAACCAACAATTGACCCCCAATGCACGCAAGATAACACCTATGTTATATATACATTACCTTTTGTCTTTCTTGACAATTTATTTTATTCCACATTCATGTCATATAAAAAATATGCACCTCTAGCAATCCAATGATCCTTTTGTCTATTAATTGATTATTCTGTTTAGAAAAATTGTCACCTTAAAAAAATCACCATAATCTAATTAAAACATAAGCTCAAATTTTATTTTTTGAAAATAACATATCAAATAATGCTTATCATTTTAAAAAAACTAAAATTTATAAAGAAAAAAAAAAAGCTAGGCTAGGCCTAGAGTTCGGCCCATGCTTATAAGCCCTGTATGCGAGCTTTTATTATGTTTTTGTTAGATACTGGGACGGATAAAAATTTATAAAAAAAATAAGAAGTGGTAGGCACCACATTGCTTATCATACCTAAATTTTTGCTTATCATAGCCGGAGAATTAGGGTGGCTGTTTTTTTTCTTTTAAAAACCTATTATCAACCTAAAACACTTAGAAATTACCTTGATATCCTTTTTAAACCAATCTCTAACTTTCAAAAGCATAAAAAATAGGTAAAAAAAAAATTCAATATCAACCTGGAAACCAATTTCTTTCCTATCTTAGAACTTTTTTTTAGGAATTTTCAAGGTAAAAAAACACTCAAGTCAAAATTCCTCCATCATATGGAACCATTTGGAGCAAAAATCTAACGTTTTGATAGTTATAATTGAAGAAATGATATTTTTTTTTTCTTTAGGCTGGATTCTAGCCATTTTCTCTCTCTCATCTCACCCACTAAAGACTAAAAAATGATGAAAATGAATGCCTTGTTTGTTTGACGGAAAGTGATTTCTTAGAAACTACTTTCTTAATTTTCTTGTATTTGTTTGTCATTAGAAAATTTGATCACTAGAAAACAATTTCTAGTTACAGAAAAATTTGACTTAATTTCTAGAAAAGTGTTTTCCTTTTATTTTGAAAAAAAAACACTTTCCGGAAGTTGTGAAAAATTTAGAAATGTCATATTATTTGTTAATTATATTAAATTTGGTTCTCAAATTTTTGATTGCTATATATATATTATTTTGAATATTTTTTTCAATTTCATTCCTTAGAATTTGATTTTTATATTAACTGTGATTCTCATTTTTATAATTTTTATTTGCTTTTCTCTTATTATTTTTTAATTGAATTTTTTTATCTATCAAATTTGGTCCTCATTTTTTTTATTGTTACTTATTTTATTTGAAATAATTTATGAAATGATAATCATTATTATTTTAATTTCTTCATCTTCAATTTTGTTTTTAGATTTGATCTCTATTATTTTGATTATTATTTATTTTATTTGAGATAATTTATGAAATTATATATTTTTTTCAATTTCATTCTCATTCAACCTTTTAATTTGTAAGATTTGTTTCTCATTATTTTAATAAAATTATAAAAAATAAAACATTAATGAATTATTTCCTACTCATTTTTCATGACATAACTAAACATTAAAAAATATTTTCTAACCTATTTTCCATTATACTACTAAACTTTAAAAAATAATTCATTTTTTCAGAATTTACTTTCCAAAAAGAAACTAGTTTACAGCAAACAAACGAGACCGAAGTTTAGTTTCAAAATATAATTGTTAAAATGCAAAAAAAAAAAAATAGAGGCCAAAAATGTACTTTACAAATAAATTTGAACGCACTACTCTTGTTTTATACTTTAGTCCCCTGTGTTTCAATTCAACCTTCTCCCACAAAAAATTCAATTAAGCTTTAATTTGGGTTTAATTGCACTAAAAAAGTCCAAGAATGAAATTAATTTGTTTTTAAAATTTTATTATTATAATTCATAATGAAATCGCAAGAGGAGAAATAGTAAAATTATATACATTGAGAAAGGCATGTAGTTTATATTGAGATACCATGGTCATTTCATTTTATTTAAAATTTGCCTTTGATGAAGTTGCAAATTATAAGTTTTAAAAATTTGATAAGCAAATGTAATTTCTATGAAACTATAATAGAATGTCATAGATTATTTTTTCTTAAAAAAATTAAAGGACTCCTAACATGAAATTAAATATTTTAATATGTATTTATTTCTATACTTCCCCCGTTTCATTTGTAGTTATCAAGTTTTTTTAATATTTTCTGACATCTTTAATAAACAAACAGATTGAATTTTAAGTTTATAATAATTCCTTTTTACTGTTAGAGGACATAAACATGTTAATAATAAATTGCATTTTTTTACGTTAAAAAGTAATTTTGACCCACCGTTGACCAGTAGTGACCTAATGCATGGGCTCCTAGGAGAATCAAAAGATACCAAGCGTTAAGAATCCAACCTGTAAATGGTGGGGCACTTATTCCCTCATAATCAACGGACGCGGAAAGAACCGATCAAACGCTCTGTTCAGCATAGAAGTAAATCAGACCAAAGAATATGATGACACGTATGTTATTTACTATGGCCCTCACTGCCGCTTTTATTCTTCTCTCTCCTTTTACACCCAAATCACCAATAAAATGTGGAGGGAGTGCATGGAAAACTTGAATTAGGGCATTGTTACGGTTTTCTCTCACTAGAACAAAACCTTAGCCACCAATGGGAGACCCGGCCACGCCGCCAGCATCAGAACTCGCAGCGATGGCCATAATCGACGGCGCATCTCTTAAGCATCCATTTTCAGACAGAGTCCCGGTCCGATCCATCGTGTGTCGTCCCGATGGCGGAGCTGGACTGGCCGGGAATCGAGTCCGCGCTGGTGGGTGGGTGAAGACCGGGAGAGAGCAAGGGAAGGGCTCCTTCGCATTCTTGGAGGTGAACGACGGGTCGTGTCCAGCCAACCTTCAGGTTATCGTGGATGCTGGTGTAGAAGATCTGAGCACGCTTGTGCAGACTGGGACTTGCGTGTCCGTTGAAGGCGTGCTTAAGGTCCCTCCTGAGGGTACAAAGCAGAAGATTGAGCTCCGTGTTGAAAGGGTGCTCCATGTAGGCCCCACCGATCCTGCAAAGTACCCGATTCCCAAAACGAAGCTCTCTCTTGAGTTTTTGAGGGATCATATTCACCTTCGGCCCCGAACTAACACGGTATTATCGAATTCTTGCTTCTTTGTTTATTCTAGTTTGTGTTATTGAATCCTACTAATTCTTGTTTTGAAAGCATAGGCATATGTATGTACTAGCGTTTTTTTTTTTTTCATTATGTTGTTGACAGATGTTTCTTTGTAGATTTCTGCAGTTGCTCGAATTCGCAATGCACTTGCTTTTGCCACACACTCTTTCTTTCAAGAGCATGGTTTTCTATACGTTCACACCCCCATCGTCACCACAAGTGATTGTGAAGGTGCCGGTGAAATGTTTCAAGTTACTACCTTGATTAATGAAGCTGAAAAGCTGGACAAGGAGCTGATTGAGAACCCTCCTCCTACAGAGGCTGACATAGAAGCTGCAAGGCTTACTGTTATGCAGAAAGGTGAGGTTGTTGCTCAACTCAAAGCTGCCAAGGCAACCAGGGACGATATTAGTGCTGCAGTCGCAGGACTAAAAATAGCCAAAGAGGATCTCTCAAGGCTGGAGGAAAGAGCTAAGCTTAAACCTGGTATCCCTAAAAAAGATGGCAAGATTGATTATGCTCAGGATTTCTTTTCTCGTCAAGCTTTTTTGACCGTCTCTGGCCAACTTCAAGTTGAAACATATGCCTGTGCTGTCACTAGTGTCTATACATTCGGACCAACCTTTAGAGCTGAGCATTCTCACACTTCAAGGCATTTGGCTGAGTTTTGGATGGTGGAGCCTGAAATAGCATTTGCTGATCTTCAGGTATATTACCACGTGCTGTTCTAATTGGTTTATCTGGCTCTTGTACACTCTTAAGACCCTAGATCTCTAGAGTTTGTGCCAGTAATTGCAGGATTTGGTCTTCATTTAACCGAATTGTTAGTGATGTGTTGTTTATCAACGAATTTGCTTAACTACATGATTTATATTATATGCTATGGATCTGTTCAGCTGTCTCATAAAGTATGGCGTTGGGACTCCTATTTTGTGTTTATAAAAACACTATTTTTGAATAAAGACCAACATCTTATGTGTGAAGCAAAGGTTAATTCTTTTAATGTCTCTCTGGATTTTACTAAAGTGAGGGAATCATTTGTGCTTGACATGGAGTAGGATGCTCCCTTCCCTATTTGTTATGTATATATGTTATGTAAAGTATATTTCAGTTGTGAGCAGATTTTGCATGATTTTGTAGGATGACATGAACTGTGCAGAGGCATATGTGAAATATATGTGTCAATGGCTACTCGACAAGTGTTTAGATGACATGGAACTTATGGCAAAGCTTTATGATAAAGGTTGCATTGATCGTCTAAGAATGGTTTCTTCTACCCCTTTTGAGCGTATTTCTTACACAGAAGCAGTGCGACTGCTAGAGGAGGCAGTGAGGGGTGGTAAGGAGTTTGAGAAGAATGTGGAATGGGGGATTGATTTGGCATCCGAGCATGAAAGGTATGGAAATCTGCCTCCATAGCACATTCTGTCCATTTGATTTGCATGCACCAATGGCTTGGTTTGTCTATATACAGATACTTGACAGAGGAGATATTTAAGAAGCCTGTAATTGTGTACAACTATCCGAAAGGAATAAAAGCTTTCTACATGAGGCTTAATGATGATTCAAAGACAGTGGCTGCTATGGATATCCTTGTACCAAAGGTAAACCTTTCCCTGCACACATTTTAAAGTTTGTACGCCATGTGCTCAGTTCTTACATGTAACATGGTAGTTATTTGCCTACCTTTTTTCCCATTCAAATCGGAGTTGTGGTTTATTGCAGGTGGGAGAATTGATTGGTGGAAGCCAAAGGGAGGAGCGCTATGAGGTTATTCAGCAGAGGTATGGGGAGTCTGCTTGAATGGTCCAACATTAGATTATGCAAAGTAACATGCTCCGTTGTTTTTCTTTTAACTGTAAGTTATGCCCTGACGAGTGCCTTTTTTTTTTTTTGTTGGGGCATTCTCCATTGCAGAATTGTTGAGATGGGACTGCCGCTTGAGCCATATGACTGGTACCTTGACCTGAGACGTTACGGGACTGTAAAACATTGTGGATTTGGCTTGGGCTTTGAGAGGATGATACTTTTTGCCACTGGAATTGACAATATCAGAGATGTCATCCCATTCCCCAGATACCCGGGCAGAGCAGATCTGTGATATTTTAGTTGATAGTATACACAACAATGTTTTCACTTTGCCTATAGAATTCAACGGTCTGTTCTGCTCTACTTCCCAACCTAAATTGTTTGGTTTTTGATGCAGACCTAATTTGCAAACTCAAATCATAGGTGGTGAGGTTTTCTTGTTTTGTAAAACGTATTTTATGCTATATGGTCAACGATGCTGCTTGAGATTTTCTTCTGGCGATATTTGTCTGTCTCCTATTGCAGTTTTTGGGTACTTACAGCCTCAGCTAAGGCTAACTCTTACCAGTATCATTGAAGCTAACTGGCTGATTCTCCCGGTTACTTAATTCGAGTTTGCTTCCTGCAACATTTGTTCTTACCTTTACACCTATTGTTTTCTGGAAATAAACAAAAGATATTAAAACACTTTGATTATATTAAATTTTAATTTTAATTTTTTGTTACTGTTATGTATTTTGTTTTGATTTTTTTTAATTTTATCTTTTGAAATTTGATTTTTATATTAATTTTAGTTTTTGATTTTTTAGTTATTATTTTTTTAGTTTTTTTAATTAAAATTTTTTATCTATTAACTTTGTTTTTAAATTTTTTCTTAAGTATTTATTTTATTTAAAATAATTGATGAAATTATATATATTTTAATTTTTTAATGTTTTTATTTGTTAGATTTAATTTTTATTATGATTATTATTATTTATTTATTTTAAATATTTAATGAAATAAGATGTTTTTTAAATTTTATTCTCCTTTAGTTTTTTTATTTTATGTTTTAAATTTGGTTTTTAATTTTTTAATAAACCTAAAAGTTATGGT